ATATGCTTAGGGCTCTAATGGAAAAAGTAAACAATACGGAAGAACAAATGGGTAATGTCAGTGGAGAGATGAAAGTTGAAAGAAAGAGGAAGTTCTAAAAATGAAAAATACCATAACAGAAATAAAGAATGCTTTAATGGGCTCATTAGTGGACTGGACACAGCCAAGGAAAGAATCCGTGAGCTTGAAGATACGTCAAAAGAAACTTCCCTAACTGAAAAGAAAAGAAAATAATAAAAGAATACCAGAACTGTGTGAAAATTACAAAAGGTACAATATACACATAATGGAAATACCAGAAGGAGAAGACAGAAACATAGGAACGGAAAAAAGTATCTGAAATAATAATAGATGAGAATTTTCCCAAATTAGCCATTGACACCAAACCAAACAGATCCAGAAAATTCAGAGAAAACCAAGCAGAATAAATATCAAAAAGTTTCCACCTAGAAATATCATATCTGTGATGGCTAATTTTATATGTCAACTTTATTGGGCTAAGGGGTGCTCAGATAACTGGTAAAACATTATTTCTGGGTGTTCCTGTGAGGGTATTTATGGAAGAGTATTTGAATCTGTCGTCATCACATAGGCAGGTATCACACAATCCACTAAGGGCCTGAATAGAACAAAAAGTTTTTATTGGGCTGGGTGTCCATCTTCTCTTGCCCTCAGACATTGAAGGTCCTGGTTCTTAGGCCTTCAGACTTAGGCTGAATTATATCACCAGCTTTCCTGGCCCTCCAAATAGCAGACAGCGCATGGTGGGACTCAGCCTCCATAATCTCATAAGCCAATTCCCTTCTCCCTCTCCCTCTCCCTCTCCATCTCTCCCCCTCTCCCCCCTCCCCCTCCCCCTCCCCCTCCCCCTTCCCCTCCTCCTCTCCCTCTCCCTCTCCCTCTCCCTCTCCCTCTCCCTCTCCCTCTCCCTCTCCCCTGCCTCCCTCCTCTCCTCCTTCCCTCTGCTCCACTTCTATATGGAGATACACATACATTTTCCAGCCTCTTCTCATGTAGGTGTGACCATGTAACTGATCCCAACCAATGGAATGTGAATAAAAGAGATGTATGTCACTGTAGATGCAAGACAAGGGTGTGCCTTCTTCATTTTCTCTCCCCTTCACTCTGGCAGATAGAGAAAAACCACAGGCCCCAGGTGGTACCAAAGCCAAAACACGGATCCTAAATCACGGCGTCAGGAGTCACCTGTGGACAGAACAACTCTGGACTATTACATCAATGGAAATCACAGTTCTGCCTTTATGCATTTGGGGTCTCTTTGTTACAGTAGCTCTAATAGTATGAAACTAAGTGTTATAATTCCCATTCCTCTTCTAGAGAAACCACTGACTGTTCCTTAACTCTCTGAGATGCTCTAACAGCACACCTCCTCTCCAAGAATCTCTAGGACCTTTCAATGAACTGCCCAGAGCAGACATTTTCTTACCATTTTATCAAGATGTCCGAGGAATAACTTCTGGCTTTATTGGGTAATATTTTTTTTAAAAGATGGGGTCTCGCTATGTTGCTCAGGCTGCTTTTGAACTCCTGGGCTCAAGCAATCCTCCTACAGCCTCCTGAGTAGCTGGGATTACAGATAAAAGCCAGCATGCCTGGCTTCTTATTGGGTAATTTCTAGGGCTGGGTTCATATCTTGCTCTTTCTCTGAAGTGCCAGAACCCCAGGAAAGAGAAAGATACAGTCAGCAGTGATGCTTCTTCCCCATTTGGCTCTCTCCTCCTTTCCTTCCCAACTAGGATTTCTTTGTCCACATACCTGAGGATACCTACCACAAAATGGTCATTTCTCCTTCTCCTGCTTCAGAGCAACCCTTTGAAGGCCAAGGTTGGGAGCCCTAAGGCCTAGGTTGCCTCTTGTCATCATCTCAATAAGTTATACCTTCAAAATTGCTATATAACAAGGCACCCCAGTACTCAGTAGCTTCAAATAATGATCTTTTCTAATTGTCACTCGTCTTCATAGTAGCAAGGATTGCTCTGTAACACATGCCTCATTCTGATGCCTAAGCTGGAGAAGCAGTGACTACTTAAGCATGGTTTTGTCGTAGCACAGATGAAAAGCTCCCAGAGGTGCTGGGAAAAACTTTTGAGGCCTTAGGACCTCTGCTCAGGATTCACACACAGTCACTTCCCCCCAGATTCCATTGGCTGAAGCTCACCATAAAAGCAGGCCAAGTGAAGGGGCATTGAAGTACATTCTACACATGACACCTCGGCAAAGGTGTGATATGTAACACTACCACAGGGACACAAAGTACCAAGACTACTAATTCAATCTACAGCAGTCCCTGAGAAATAGAGGTATGTGAGCCAATAGCTATGTTGACCCGTCTGGAGCCTCAGCTGAAGGCAATCAGAAATGTGTATTCACTAAAGGGCACTACATTTAGAAATGAGTATTTTGTAAAATTTGGAATTTAAGGCATCCCTATGGTTTGTCTACTGTAATAATTCAACAGGAGGAAGGACGAAGTCAGACCAACAGCATCATTAAAGAACTACTATGTTGATTACATGGATGTTCTGTTCATATTAGCCATCAACTAAGAGAAATCCATCCTGTGGAATTACCAGAGTAATGCACTATCTCAAAGACTGGATTCAATCACTCCCCATTCAGACTCAGACGCAGTCTTATGGAAAATGGGAACAATAATAGAGCCGAGGGAACATTAGGACCATATCTGCTTCAACGCTCTTTTTGCAGAAGAAACACCAGCAGAGAGAAGCACAATGACTCAGAAAAGCACTTGAAACCATTTATACTGCAGTGTATCGTGCCACACCAGCACCTTGCTCCTGGAGTAAGTCTTGTTAGCAATTACAGACCCATGGAACGGTGGATCCTCTGGCAGTAATTGAGATCATGGGACTGGGTTCGAAGTCAAGAATTCAGGTGGGTCACTGTTAGTTTCTTCCCAGGGACACCTAATCAAAGCCCATGAGAACATTAGGGCTCTCAGAGACTAAAACTCTAACATAGTGGGGGGTTTTTGGGCTATCTCCTAACTGTATTAATTTCCAAGATGCTGAGATGCCAGCGAACACCCCTAGAACCCCCTCTCCCTTCCTGATGCCCTCCTATTTGAACCTGCCATTTCCTCAAAAAAATTAAGAGGGGAATGCCAGTCAATTCAAGCTAAGATGTCACTCCTGTTCTACAAATACTTAATACACAAAAATAATTGTTCATTAAAACAAACAAAAAAATAAATTCTAGCTTCCCTCCCAGCATTTGAACAATCTTGCCCACCCACTGATAAGATCTTCTATGGTCTTGGGTTGTCAGCAGTGATTGGATTTCAGAGATGTGTATGTCATGCTACATTTTATGTATTAAGAGTACAGCGCACAGTGGCCTCTCCCATGACAGAGAGAAATAAAAGTCATATATAAATAGTAGTGCCCACGAAAACTTGGAAAGACAGATCTTTTCCAACAGATACTCAGGTCTCAGGGACAATCTGAAGAGTCTGACGGACTCTCTCCTTGACAAAAGTTTAATCAAGTGTGAGCCCTCTTTAGCAGCCCACCACCCTGGTCCCCTGACCACTCACCCCCTGCCCCCCTGCACCTCTGGCTTGCCCAGCTCTATTTTAGCAAGAATCCTGCTAAGTCAGGTTAAAGAGAAATCACCACCCTTGGTATCTGATCAAATTCCTTATTCCCTCATCCTTGATATCGGATCACCCTGGCCTGCCTTCAGCAAGAATCCCTCTAGGAGCTTGCGTCTCATCTCAGTAACTTTCCATCTACTGACCCCTTCGTTCTGCTCCTTGGCTGTACATCCCCAGCTGTCCTTACTGTATTCCAGGTTAGACCTCATCTCTCTCCCTAGTGTGACCATCTTTACACCTATAGATAGCAATAACACTGTATAAAGCCTTCATGTTTTAACAAGTGTCAGAATAATTTTTTCTTTAACAAATTCTCAACAAAAACCCAAACCCAAAATTTTTCTGAAATGAAAAAGGCTTTAGGGCTTCTCGGGTCATTTTTGTTGTATTTGTCCCCAAAGCTGAGCGTAAACAACTCCTTTGAACGTTTTGGAAAAGAAAGGTCCTTCTATACACCTACTTTGTTCAAGGGATTACATGCTTGGGATTTAACAGACAACAGCTACAAAAATCAAGAAGTTCCTTCTCCATCTATATGACGAATTTCTGGACAGGAGCCTGCTGCCAGAATACGAATCTTCTTTCCCAAAGACCCCTGCTCTTGTTCCTACACTCCCTTGCCTGTCTAGTCTTTCACTCCCTGAAGCGCGGAGAGAGCGCCTGGAGAGCTCATCCAAGCAAGTGCACCCGCTGGTGACTGCAAATGAGCACATGGAACTGTGAGCCCACACTACGCTCGGTTAAAATCAGTCCGGGCTTTTCCTGCCTCGTCCACGCCGAGGTCACACGCGGCACTGGAAGCGGCCTGCAGCGGGCGGGGCAGGAGAAGGCCGAGGGCACGGCTGTCCAGGCCAGCCAGGGACTGCCCGGGAGGTGCGCGGACCGGCCGGAAGCCGCGCCGAGAGGAGGGCCGCGGAGCTCGCGCGGGCGCCGTCCCCCGGCGCCGCCGAGGCCTGCTGACATCAGCCGCGCTCCTCCCCTCGCCTCCCAACACCCTCAGCTCCGGGCCGGACCCTCCCTCCTCCCACCACGTGTCCTCCCCGCTCCATCCCGAGGGGCCGCGCGCACGGGAGGCCGGAGAGGCGGAAAGGATGGCGCTGTGACAGCCAGGCCGGAGCCCTCGGGTCCCCACCCCGCGCCCCGGCCGCTGGGCCCGGCGGTGAGTGCGCGCGGGCGGGGGCGGTGGCGGCGCGGCCCCTCCCCCGGGTCCCGGGCGGCTGGGCCGCGGCGGGGGCGGGGGCGCCGAGGCTGCGCTGCCGCCGCCGCCGCCTTTGTTGAGGGCCCGCCGGGGGAGGCGGGCGGCGCCGGCTCTCGCCTCCCGGCAGGTGCGCTGAGGCTGAGAGGGGGCCCGGCCGGAAGGCGGGCCGGGCGGAGGGGGCGGCGGGAGCGCTGCCGGCGCGGGGCCGCGGAGAAAGGGAAATGGGGCAAGATGGCTGGAGAAATCCGAGCGCGCCCCGGGGCGCGGCAGCGGTGGCGCAGGCTGGACTGGGCGGGCGGCGGCCCTGGTTGCGGCACCTTGGTGAGGGGCGGGGGCCCCTCCCACCTCTGCCCGGGAGCCGGCAGGGAGGCCGCGGCCAAGTTCGGGCCCCAGCTGCTGCAGGCATCTGAAGCCTACACCTATCCGTGTCGCGTTCGCCCATCTTTTTTGGAAATATCGCAAGAACCGACTTTGAACTCCAGAGGGATCTTTTCTTTGGAAGTCCCAGAAGATGCGGCCCTTAAGATGCACCCGCACTCCACACTTAGGAATTGCCCGTGCCCGTAGAGGGCAGGAGCGCGGCCCTTTGTACTGGCCAAGAGTCAGCGAACAGAGAATTTGCATCCAAGAGGCAATGGGTCATTTCCCTGTTAGGGTGGGCCCCAGCAGATTTCTGCACCTTTTTGGGTATCCAGGCATAGCTCTCACTGTGTTTCACTGAATCCTGGGTTTGCAAAGTCCCTTAAGGTAGAATGACCCAATTTTCTGAACCAGCTCGTGGACAGAGCCTTTGAATTTGGAAAATCCAGGTGATAGGCCTACTGAGCCAACCACGCCGCTCATGCTTAACTGGCTTCTAGCACCCAGTCCAATCTGTGTTCAGCCACCTTCACTGATAGGAAATCAGCACCTTTCCCCTGGGTGGGATTGGCTGTGAGAAAGTACTGCCTTTCTCACAGCTTAAAACCTTGTTGTGGAATATTTACCCACTGGCTGGCCTCAGTTCTGCCCTCCAGTCTCTACAAACCAGTCTGGGTTCTCTTCCCCAGAGAGCTTTTTAAATATTTGAAGGCAGCCAGAGACATCATCTACCCATAGCCTCTCTTATCATAATTAAACATGACACCCTGTAGCTTCCTGGCCGACTCTGTTCCCTTACCTCCCTCCAGCGGTCACAGTGCTTGGGGCAAAAGAGGTTAGTATGTAGTTCAGCCTCCACCATCATAGGCTTTGGGGAGGTTTCAGTGATACCTGGTTTTTCTGAACTTGAATCTTATTTGCAGAGATGGAGTCCGCAGCCTATCCTCTCAATTTGACCCTGAAAGAAGAGGAAGAGGAAGAAGAGATTCAGAGCCGGGAACTGGAGGACGGCCCCGTTGTCATGCAGAAAGTCCGAATCTGCTCTGAGGGCGGATGGGTAAGTAAGAAGGTGTGGAGTCCACACAGCCAGCAGTAGCAGGCCTGAGAGCCAGGAAAGTAAAAATAGCCCAGCCCAGGGTGTTTGCATTCCTGAGAAATCTGCCCTGTGGCTTTAAAAGGCAGTGCAAAGAATGGAGGAGGTGGTTATGGAAGCAGTCCCTCCGCCATGTAGCTTGTCATCATTCGATTGGAAGTCCTAGAAGCCAAGACCTTGTCTCTCTCATTCAGCCACTTCTCCTGCACTGTATTTGATGCCAGGCACATTGTAGGCACCAAGTAGATGTTTGCTGACTTAGTGCTGGTTGAAGGGAATTATTTTAAATAAGACTCAAGTCATTGGGTTGACATGAGAGGTTAGGCTGGTTGGGTCTGTGTGAGCACCTCTTATCACAGTTCACACAGGAGAGCTGCATATCCCGCTGGCCTGGATTGAAATGGCGGGCAGCAGGGAATACAGAGATTTATGATACACACACAGAGTAGTGTGATAGAGGTCAGTTTATACACATGCAAATGCAGTAGATATTTATAGTTACAGATAGTTATTCACAGTAGTTACTGGACTTCTTGGTAATTAGACATGAAGACTAAGCATTTTAAATAAGCAACAAATTGACATTCCTTTTCTACTGTGTATAAGTACTGCCAGTATACATAGTATCCTTTGCTTCCATAAAGAGTCTCTATCTATAGAGAAGCATGGCACTTCTAAATTGTTCCCTACCACATGAGGGAACTGGGATGCAGAAGGATTATCTGCTTTACCCCAAGGATACACATGTACACTGACATTTGTTCTTCAAAACAGGTCTCCTGAGCTATACCCTTTAAAATAATGCAGTTTACCGTATGTAAGCTGTACCTTAATTTGAAAAAAAAAGCAGTGCAACCACAGGCTCTGGGTTTGCCAGTCTAGCTTTGGATGCTGCACTGCCTTTGTCTTAGCAGTGTTCTTTTCCCACTACATCCTTCTTCCCAGTTCTGATTTAAGCAGGTGTCAGGTCCATTTAGCCTGGAACAAAACCCCAAGGCAGTTGAAACTCAGGGCTTTGAGGCTAAACTGGCCAGCCCAGAACATCTAAATGGACAGCCTTGGGGAGCAGGTGCAATAAAAGTGAATGCGTTGGGACAGTAAGGAAGGAGCAAGATGAAGACAAACCGTGCTTGAGTGGGGAAAAGAAGAAAGTAACCAGAGGAGCTGGGGGAGGGAGGCCAGCAGCTGGCTGGTGCTGGGGATTGGGCCCTTGTGGCCTCCAGGCAATTGCCCATCCATCCACAGTTACCAAACAGTGCTGGGTGTAAAGAGAGGTTTTTTCCCTGATGGAATTTCTAGTCTTGTGAGCAAGGCAGGGAAGTAAACATAAGTAATAATAAGCACACTGTGCAGAGTGCAGTGGTGGAGGTCTGCAAGGATGTGCCAGGAGCCGGTGAGGAGATGCTTCATTCAGGCTGAGAACCCTGGGGCTTCCTGGACAAGGCCTAATCTTGAACAATGAGCAATTTGCCTGACCCCTGGACATTTGGCACCATCTGGAAACACTACCTCCTTCCCCCACCCCTGGATATTGGGTAATATCTGGAAACACTTTTGGTTGTCTGACTGAGTCGGGGGGCATTGGGGACTGGGAGATCCTCCGGGCGTCTAGTGGGTAGAAGCCAGGGGTGCTGCTAGACATTTGCAATGCACAGGATGCCACACACACACACACACACACACACACACAATAAAGAATTAACTGGCCCAAAATGTCAGTTGTGCTGAGATTGAGAAACCCTGCTCTAGAGCATTAAATTAGAAAAAAAATCTATTTTTAAAATATGTATTTTGATTATAGAGAATTAGGGTGATCAGTGAAACCTTTTTTAAGTATAAGAACTATAGTAGGATAAAATTTTATAGGATTGAAATAGAAATACAATTTCAAGTAGAAAAAAGGAAGAATGTACTTTGAACTGAGTCTTAGTCATGATGGAATCAGCTGAGGGAAGGGAGGGGGTTGCGGTTCAGGTAAGAGGACAGCACAGGCAGAAGCACAGGGAACGGTGCTTGTGTGCAGAGTTAGGAGCCGCTCCCCTGCAGCTGGAACCTGAAACTCGTGGCAGAGAGTGGAAGGGGATCAGGCATAGAAGGAGGCCAGGTCGGGGCCAGAGCCAGCCAGGAGGACATGGAGTGCTACGCCGTCGAGTTGGAGCTTTCTCCTTAGCTCTGTGGAATGAGGCCTTAGCCCATCTTTCTAAGGGAGGCCTCAGGCTCTCTACAGCCACTATGCTAAGGCCTGAGTGGCCTACTAAGAAAGCCTAGTTTTGGCATCAGACTTTTTATCTCTGTGACCTTGGACAAGTTACTTAACCACTCTGTTTCCTTACCCATAAAAGTGAGGTAGTGATCCCCATGTCCCTAGTTTAGAGAATTGTGAGAGAATAGATGACTGAGTGTCCCATACAGGGCTTGGCACATAGCAGGCGCGCCATCAGTGGGTCAGTACAGACTCACTCCCCTGAGATCCCACATCTTTGCTGGGTGGCTGCAAGGCTTTAGTGAGGCTGTGCAATGTGTAAGCACTTTACAACATTTAGCGTTGGTGATAGCGTTGGAATGCCAGCTTCCTGAGCAGATCAAGGCAGTGCACACAAGCTGGAGGAAGAACACTTACCAGTGAGTCCTTGATCTTCTGAGGAAAGGGAGGAGGGCAGGGATTGAGGGCCCCTACCTGCAAGGCCAAGAAGGGGTGTCTGGAGGTGGTACGCAGACTGCCTGACTTCTCAGTTTTGCCCAGGGCTGGCCCTGTTTACCTTCTGCTGTGTTTGTCCAGATAAAAGGCCTCTGTGGAGCGAGGGGAGGCCTGCGCAGCAGGGCCTGGCTGAAGGATCGCTCCATTCTTACAGAGGCTTGCTGTGAGGAGAATTTCTAAGCCACTGCACTGTGCCTCTGGAGCATAATGTGGGCTTGTTTGAAGATCCTCCATGGCTCAGTCATCAATAGGAGGAGATGAAGCCTGCACCAGCCCCCCAGCCTTCTTGTGGCTTCAGGGCTCCTGGTACCTGATGTTTTTATCAGGCCTAGCATGTGTTACCCCCGCTAAGAGTATTGATAGCCCCTCTGAAATGACAGGCATAGCCAGTCCTGTTCCCATTTTATCAGCAAAGGGAAGGGGACTATAAATAGGTATGGCCTGGATCTGGGACTTCCCAGGGAGAAAAAAAGGCCAAAGGGAGAGTTCTTTAAAAGCCTGGGAAGTGGGAAAGGAGTGGGGTGGAAAATTCCTGGGCTGACTGGCTTTCCAGGGTGAGGAAGTCTGAGGAAAGCCTGGAGACGAATCCAGCCTTTTCATACTTAGGGATTTTTGTCCATTCTTACTCCAACGAGTAGGCTTCGTTGTGACAGATAAAATTTGATGATTTTTTGAAACAGTTCCAAGTGGAACAAGAGAAGGGAAATCCAGAGATTTGCCTAGATGGTATATTCAGAATCATGTTTTTCAGTGACTACTAGCACAGGAAGTGTCCTAGGCTTAGGGAAGCAAAAAGGAGTAAGTACAGGTCCTGCCTTCAGTGAGCTCAGATTCTAGTGGAGGGAGCAGACAAGTCCACCAAAAGAATTCTGTGTGACGAGTGCCCCGGGAGTGTGGAGCCCAGGGCATCACAGGGACATGTGGGTCTGTTCACAGCACGGTACAGAGCCGGTTTCCTGGGGAGCAGGGCATTTGGGCTGAGTCCTGGAAGATGGGTGGATGTCAGCTAGACCAAGAAAGGGAGGTTCTTCAAGGGTGGGGGAGATTATGGGCCAAGGTATGGGGGCATCAGGGAATGGTTGTTCAGGGAACAGTACACAGCTGAGTACAAGTGGAGCACAGAGCTATGGAGAGTTGAGGGTTAGTCATAAGGAGGCAGCTGTGCTCGGTATTGCTGGAGCCTTGGGGGTTAGGCAGTGTTGGGTCCAAAACGCAACCCTGCCATTTATTGCCTATGACGTTAGACTGGAAATGAGACCTCTCTGAGCCCATATTCTATTTGATTTAATAGAATCATTTTAATCTATTTAATAGGGCACAGTGGCTCAAACCTGTAATCCCAGCACTTTGGGAGGCCAAGGTGGGTGGATCACCCACCTGAGGTCGGGAGTTCAAGACCAGCCTGGCCAACGTGGTAAAACCTCATCTCTACTAAAAATACAAAAATCAGCCAGGTGTGGTGGCAGGTGCCTGTAATCCCAGCTATTGGGGAGGCTGAGGCAGGAGAATTGCTTGAACCCAGGAGGCAGAGGTTGCAGTGAGCCAAGATCATGCCACTGCACTCCAGCCTGGGCAACAGAGCAAGACTCTGTCTCAAAGGAAAAAACAAATAGAGGTATCTGCTTCTCCACAGGCCCATTGTGGGGAATAAATTAATGAAGCAGTTACAGGGCCTTTCCTAGTATATGCTTCCTACATGTGAGGTGCTGTGGAAGTAGGGAGAGAACAAGAGGGCTTCCATGTGACTGATAGCCTGACCCCTGAAGTGGCTGCAGTCTATATAGTGCATGGACACTAATTTTCTACACTGAGGAAAAACCAACATCATAATCACTCAGACCCAAGATACAGCTTTGGGAAATAGCTTCGAAGGCAAGAATTCAAAATAACCAGCCTGAAACAAGCTGTCCAGTGCCGCCTTATCACTAAATAGGATGAACTTTGGAGTAGGGTTTTTAATGACTGAACGAAAAAATACAGTGAAAAACAAAAAGGGGAGGTTGGTTCGGGTGGCTTGGCTGCCCTGGGCTAGTGAGGAGCCCCCTTGTGCTGGGGCCGGGAAGCAGAGGAACAGTGTGGGGACCTTGGGCTTCTTTCTGCCTATCTGGTCTAGGATCAAAGTGAATGAGTTTGCTCTGGAATCATACATTAAGCTCTAATTAGCCCTTCTTTCTTTCTCTTCATGCTCTTGTGGATCGAAAAGGCCAAGTAGGGCTCCTCCCTGGCAGCTTTGGGTTCCAAGTTTAACACTTTGGTTAGTACCCTTGGAAATGCAGTGCCCTGGAAAACCACAAAGACCCCATGGAGGGCAGTGATCCTATTCAGATTTACAAACCCAATGCAGCCCGCCCTGGGCCGAGGGCCCTTTTCTGGGGTGGGAGGGAATTGGGGGTGAGTGTTGGTGAGACACTTTATCTGGGTGTGGGTGGGTCAGAAGTGAGCCGTGAGCAGCTCTCACTGCAGCGCATGAGGGTACAATGTCCCAGCGTCCCCCAGCTGGTGATCATGGTAGGGAGTTAGTTTTCTTCTCAAGGTGCTGCTTACCTTATCTGAACTGAGGGTGGCAGCCACTGTGGTGGGCACAGGACTGTGCTCTTGCCCTCTTTAGCCTCCAGCAGCTGTATGAATGTGGACAGTCTGTTTTCCCCTGGGTCAGGGTCCCTTACCTGACCTGTGAGAGGCTGGGCTGTGCCAGGCTGTCTGTAAGGTCCTGTCTGGTCTGAAAGTCTGTCTGCGTGCATGTGGCTGTTGATCATTGAGAAAGGGCTGTTCACTCTTCCAGGTACCAGCCCTGTTTGATGAGGTGGCCATATATTTTTCCGATGAGGAGTGGGAAGTTTTGACGGAGCAACAAAAGGCCCTGTACCGGGAAGTCATGAGGATGAATTATGAAACCGTCCTGTCCCTGGGTAAAGCTTTGCTTTCCTTTGTCTCTTGGAAGCTCTGAGCCCAGAGAACTGTTTACATGACTCTCTTCTCTGGTATATCCAACATCCCTCTCTCCTGAACTTAGGCTCTGCCCCCTCAATGTCTATTCCCATTTAATTTCCAGTTTTTTGTTTGGGCAGTATATAAATATTGTGCTGTCCTGCTCAGCAACTCGTGCTGCCTCAGAACTGCCCGCATTCAACCCAGGCATTTGTATTTTAAGGAAAAAAAATATGACCTTAGAAATGTCCCCATGGATCTGGGCCTGTGCCTCACTGTTCCTTAGGAGGGAAGGCAGGCCTTGTTATCCTGTCAGCCTCAGAAGCTTGGGGACATACACTCCCAAAGACTCCTCTCCCCAGCCCCCGCCCCCATTGATATCCATTTTATCAGCAGAATGTACCCATTTGAAGAGATTTCCTAGTTTGCTCATACAGGTACCAAATCATTGGATCAGCAACTACATTCCTTCTCTTCCCTTCTAAATGCAGTTCTTTTATTGTTGGTGCCAATACCATCCCTCATTAGGAGAGATCCATCCATTTCCTTGGACAGGTCTATTTTCCATTATCTTTTTTCTTTAAGTATCCCTGAGCCTTTTCCCCTTGTTTTCACAAAGAAGGGGAGAGTGGTTCTTAAGTATATTACTCATTCTGGTAGTGCTCCAGGACAGTAACACACCGCTGTTACCTATTTTATTTCCTGTAAACAGAATTCCCATTCCCTAAGCCAGACATGATCACCCGGTTGGAAGGGGAGGAGGAGTCTCAGAATTCTGACGAGTGGCAACTCCAAGGAGGCACCTCTGCAGGTACTACAAGTAAAACCACTCAGCGTCCATCCAGCTGGGAACACTGTGAAGCGGGATTTTCAGTGGCCATTCCATGGGGTATTTAAGAGTGAGATAGAAGGATTATGGGCTTTGGAGTTTTAAAATCTCTCTCTCGAAGTGCTAAATGTGTGACCTTAGGCAACTGCTTTTACCTCAGAGCTTCCATTCTTCCTCTGTCAGCTCTGAGTAACAAGACTCGAGGTATGACCTTCTGTGTGGATGAAGTGAAATGGGCTTGCGCGGCGTTTGGTCCAGTGCACCTTCTGGCTGAACAGGGCTACCTCAGTAGCTTACCATGCACCTCTGCAAACGAAGAATAGTGAGAGGAAGCACGCTTCCTGAGTTACCCGGCTTCCTGTCCATTTCATATTGGACAGAAAAAGCAACAGCAATACATTTGAGCAGATGTATCTTAAGAAGTACCTAGTCCTTTATCAAGAAAAATGGTTAGTGTGGCTGCAGTTGAATGAATATAGCGTTGCTTCCGGAGGGCTGGAATCGTTCTGTCTTTTCTCCAGAAGTAAGAGTTTAAAATGCCATGGTTCACTAACTCTAAGACATCTTTTTCCCCCATTGCTTTACTGTCTCTGAAATTGAGAAACCCTCTTAAAATCAATGGCATGTCACAGCTTAATTAGTAGTGTTTTCTTTCTTAATGACACATAATGATGCATCCTACAACTGATGGCATTTTAGTTAGTTTGGGTGAGATAGGGTAATTTCCCCAACTCATATTCAATTTCTGTGTCCACCTTGTTTTTTTTTTTTTTTTTTTGAGACAGAGTCTTGCTCCATCGCCAGGCTGGAGTGCAGTGGTGCGTTCTCGGCTCACTGCAACCTCCACTTCCTGGGTTCAAGTGACTCTCCTGCCTCAGCTTCCCAAGTAGCTGAAACTACAGGCGTGCACCAAGCCCAGACAATTTTTATATTTTTAGTAGGGATGGGCTACTATGTTGGCTAGGATGGTCTCCATCTCTTAACCTTGTGGTCCACCTACCTTGGCTTCCCAAAGGGCTGGGATTATACGCATGAGCCACTGCGCCTGGTGTCTATGACCACCTTCTAAATATAAAGTGAAACCCAGTTCTACCATTAATGTGCAAGAACTAATTTTCTGCTCATAAGCTTTACTTTGCTAAGTATGGTTTTTGCTATAGGTTTTCTTGGTTCAAAAGGGATATGATTCAGGCCATGAAGTATCTCTGTAATATTATATGGTAGTATGGTTTACATGTGGCTTCTCATTCACATAAAAAGTATTTTGGCGCAAACATGGCTCCCAAATCATTTGGTCCAAGCTGGGTGTCTGTGTTCAATTCCCAGCTCTGCCACTTTCCTGCTTGGCTGCCTTGCTGTATATGTTACCTCCGTAGCCTCCCCTTCCTCATCTGCAAAGAAGGAACAGTAACTTAGTTACTGAGAGAACTGGATGTGGGTAGTCCATATACATTGGCATATGGATAAGGACTTAGGCAACTATCTGTTATTGAAGTTACTACTTTTGGTGAACCTCATTTAGGGTATTCTTGGCATTTCAACCCCCAAAAATCCGGGTATAAGCCATTTTACTTATTGGCATTATTTTTGCCCTTCCCTATTTGTCTCCCAGAAAATGAAGAATCTGACGTCAAGCCTCCAGACTGGCCAAGCCCAGTGAATGCTACCTCCCACTTTCCTCAGCCTCAGCACTTCGACAGCTTTGGCCTCCGTCTGCCTCGGGATATCACAGAGCTGCCTGAGTGGAGTGAGGGGTACCCCTTCTACATGGCCATGGGCTTCCCAGGGTATGACCTCTCAGCTGACGACATAGCTGGGAAGTTTCAGTTCAGCCGGGGCATGCGCCGCAGTTACGACGCAGGGTTCAAGCTGATGGTGGTGGAATATGCTGAGAGCACCAACAACTGCCAGGCTGCCAAGCAGTTTGGAGTATTGGAAAAAAATGTTCGAGACTGGCGCAAAGTGAAGCCACAGCTTCAAAATGCCCATGCCATGCGGCGGGCATTCCGAGGCCCGAAGAATGGGAGGTTTGCTCTGGTGGACCAACGTGTGGCCGAATATGTCAGATACATGCAGGCCAAAGGGGACCCCATCACCCGGGAGGCGATGCAGCTGAAAGCTCTCGAAATCGCCCAGGAAATGAACATTCCAGAGAAAGGGTTCAAGGCAAGCTTGGGTTGGTGTCGAAGAATGATGAGAAGGTATGACCTGTCTCTGAGGCATAAAGTGCCTGTGCCCCAGCACCTGCCGGAAGACCTGACTGAGAAACTTGTCACTTACCAGCGCAGTGTCCTGGCTCTGCGCAGGGCACATGACTATGAGGTAGCTCAGATGGGAAATGCAGATGAGACACCCATTTGTTTAGAGGTGCCATCACGGGTAACTGTTGATAACCAGGGCGAAAAGCCTGTCTTGGTCAAGACACCAGGCAGGGAAAAACTGAAAATCACAGCAATGCTTGGTGTCTTGGCTGATGGGAGGAAGTTACCTCCGTACATCATTTTGAGGGGAACATATATCCCCCCGGGGAAGTTTCCCAGTGGGATGGAAATCCGCTGCCACCGGTATGGGTGGATGACTGAAGACTTGATGCAGGACTGGTTGGAAGTGGTGTGGAGACGGAGGACAGGAGCGGTGCCTAAGCAGCGAGGGATGCTCATCTTGAATGGCTTCCGGGGCCACGCCACAGATTCGGTGAAGAACTCCATGGAAAGCATGAACACTGACATGGTGATCATCCCAGGGGGTCTGACCTCACAGCTTCAGGTGCTGGACGTTGTGGTCTACAAGCCACTGAATGACAGTGTACGGGCACAGTACTCCAATTGGCTTCTGGCTGGGAATCTGGCGCTGAGCCCAACCGGGAATGCTAAGAAGCCACCCCTGGGCCTCTTTCTGGAGTGGGTCATGGTGGCATGGAATAGCATCTCAAGTGAGTCCATTGTCCAAGGGTTCAAGAAGTGCCATATCTCTAGCAACTTGGAGGAGGAAGACGACGTCCTATGGGAAATTGAGAGTGAGTTGCCAGGAGGAGGAGAACCACCAAAAGAATGTGACACTGAAAGCATGGCTGAGGGCAACTGAAGGGAAAGGGACAGGTAACTACTCAGGAGTAGATACTCAGTGCCTTTGCTAATTGACATGTTTGTGTTCTACAGATACCTTCTCTCTTTCCAGTATTTTTCTGTGTTTAAGTTCCTTTAGAGCCTACAATGCAGTAGCATGGATCAGGGGTTCCCAAACCCCAGGCCACGGACCATACCGGTCCATGGCCTATCAGGAACTGGGCTGCATAGCAGGAGGTGAGTGCGCTAGCGTTACCACCTGAGCTCCGCCTCCTGTCAGATCAGCAGCAGCATTAGATTCTCATAGGAGCACAAACCCGGTTGTGAGCTGCACATGTGAGGGATCTAGGTTGCACACTCCTTATGAGAATCTAATGCCTGATGATCTGAGGTGCAAGTTTCATCCCAAAACCATCCTCCTACCCCTGACACCCTGGGTCTATGGAAAAATTGTCTTCCACAAAACCAGTCCCTGGTACCAAAAAAGTTGGGGACTGCTGGTATAGATAACAGACCATTAGCATTTTCTCCTTTACATGAAACTTCTGTTGTTTGATTTACTTTGTGTCTATTTTGCTCTGTGGACTGGACCCAGAAACACTTGTGTAATAGGTGAAATTAACAAAGAATGAGCTGCCAGAAAGAACATCTGAGAGCTATAAAGTTGAAAGAAATTATTTGGGCCCAAAGAAGCATAGTCTGACATTGTTCAGATTCACACAAAATTTTGTCTGAAAAGCCAACATTTTTCTTTCCCTTATAAATTATGCTTAACATTTATGGCCTTCAGTACAGTGTCCTCTGGGCCTCGGGTTTCAGTCCTGGAGCAGACTACAGTATGCCACCAGGAAATAATAATAGCTCTGCTTGCTTTTCACTAGGGACTGAAGAGGTTTTAAAACATCATCTTAGGCCAGGCGCGGTGGCTCAAGCCTGTAATCCCAGCACTTTGGGAGGCCGAGGTGGGTGGATCACGAGGTCAAGAGATCGAGACCATCCTGGTCAACATGGTGAAACCCCATCTCTACTAAAAATACAAGAAAATTAGCTGGGCATAGTGGCGCATGCCTGTAGTCCCAGCTACTCAGGAGGCTGAGGCAGGAGAATTGCCTGAACCCAGGAGGCAGAGGTCATGGCGAGCCAAGATCACGCCATTGCACTCCAGCCTGGCTAACAAGAACGAAACTCCATCTCAAAAAAAAAAAAAAAAAAAAAAAAAAAAATCAGTCTCATTATGACCCTCATGTGGGCTAGTACAATAATTTCCTTCCTGTAGTGCAGATGTCTGAAGATATTTTTTAATTGAATCTTTAAAACAACAACAACAAAAAATAAAACAGACTCTAGTGAATAAACTTTGAGGGCTGAGGACAATAGGCCTGGAATTTTCCGGGTTGACTACAAAAGAAGAGCAGCTTCCAAAGGAAAATAGGAATGGAGGCCAAGACAACGCTAGTGAAATGACCCCAGCCACCCACAACTCCAGAGAGGAAGAAGATGAGCATGTACAGCAGGGGGAGACACCCACAAAGAACAAACAGTTCATTTACCTTCTCATTCTTATCTCCCTAATTATAAATTAATTTCATCCTCCAGACACAGTGTTTTATATGAAGGAAGAAACCACCTCTTTTACAGAGGACCTGAAACCATCAATCATCTTCACACACTCTGTTTCTTTCTTTTAAAGTATAATTAGGTGCTTTCATCTTCCTTGCTTTTTTCTCCAAACGAAATGTTAATGGGAACCTTCTTTTACCCACTTCAACTATATAAGTCCAGATGTTTCAAAGAGTGACTTACATCTATCTCCTTCCTTGCCCCCAAATCAAAATATACTCATTGCTGAATCCCATTGTAATTCTGAGATCCCTGGAATTAAATGGAGCAAGGAGAAGTCCTTACTGTTACATTCACAATCACCAAAATTGGTTCTTTTACCGCTTGTGTTCCTCCTGCTTCGAGAAACACCATGAATCCAGCCTCCCTTTTCTGCTGACCATTACATTGAGTTTCCATCTTTTCCTCATTTACCTTTTACTTTGCCCTCTTTTTGTTAGACATTTTTGTGCACTTTTAATTTCCTAAGCTCCTTACTACCTCAGGGACATGATTAAAACCTGCCAGAAAGGGAAGGAGAAAAAGTTATGCTAAGCTACATCTATGAATGTTAGCATCTAATGTTGGTCATGAGCTTTTGCTCTTCCAGACGGCCACAGTTCTCTGTGCAGCTCCTGAGGAAGTGATGGGAGTTGACAGATTCACAGTGAACAAGAGATTTGGGAGACCAGGTGGCCGTAAAACTGCCTCGTCATCAATTTGGAAATCTGACTGATGGATTTATTATGTTTGTTAAAAGTTATTCCAAAAAGCCAAGGGTTGATTCATTTAGGTTCTCTCTGTTTTCCAGCAAATGGAACTCTGACTGAAACAGTTGGAGAGGAAAATCCTCATGAAGATTATTCCTGAAAGTGTGGATGTACTGGATGCACCGGGAACATCAGGAAAAGGGCACAGGGCTCTTAACAGCCCAGGTCCAGACAGCAGCCTGTACATCCATCCCAGGACACAGCCCAGCCCCTCCCCGACACCATATAAGGTATCAGAAAAGTCTAGGACCTTCATTTCATCAGAGACGTGATCAGAAATGAAACTGCTTCTGCCCCATTTCTTGTTTTGGAGATTACTCCATCTGTCCATCAAGAGAAACCTGTAAATATGAACAAACAAAGGTATTTCCTGGAGAAGAGACAATTTGTTCAACAGCAACATGGGACTCGACTCATGGGCACAACTCTGGTGTCCTTCTATGGAGAAAACCTCAAGTAAAGTTTTATTCTGCCTTTGAAAATGCTTCCAAAAGTAGCACTTCCAAAAAGCTTTGTAGAAATGTGTCACTTATGTATACCTGCTACTTACACATTTCCTCTTTTGGAAAAATGAGATACTTAGGATAACAACAAAATTAAAACATACTGGCCTGGTGCCAGCAGATGGCTTTTCTATAGACAAACTGGGTTAGTTTGGAAAATACAGGTTAAACTATGATGTTTTATTTATCATCCCAACCTGATTGGCAGCTAGACGTTTTTAGGGTCTCATTTGATGGCCCTGTTTTTTTCATTATTATATTTAATGATAGGGCAAGATTTCATATGCAAGCTCTTCTGTTTCTCAGGCTGCCTGCAGAAGAAGTCACTATAAATTATCTGCTGTCTACATGGTACAAGGCCCATTGACTCATCTGCTGCTTGTTTTGTTAATTTCTTCAATATTTTTATCACAGGGGCAGTGGGGGCTTGGGCCTTTAACCACAGCTCTTTCAAGACTTGCTAATCTCCTGCCCTCCAGTAATAGGTGGGAGGTCATTGAATTTTTTACACTATCGTAATTTGCATTCCCACATAAGTTTGAGTGTTATGAAAACATTCCTTTAAAAGCGATCTGTGCTACAAAAAATATGCCAGGACCTCACAGACAAAGCCATTGCTAGAAATGTCATTCCGATGTCCAATCTGGAAACAGGCTGCCATAACCACTTTTCCTTCCTGTAGACTCAGCTCACCTGTATATTAAACTGTTCTTGGCATCTTGAAACACCTGTTTCTACTCAGGTACTCATTTTCCTATTACTAATTCACTTTTCTGATCCTTTTAAACCAGTTTTCCCCTAAGGGGGAGATTTTACTTAATCTCTAGTATCTGAATAACTGTCAATATTTTAATTGTTTCCCCATTTGCTTTTTCCTGTACTGTATTCTTGGTCATCTCAAATGGCATCTAAACCCAGCATTCCAGAAGTTTCCATTCCCTCCAGTTCCACCTAATTTTTCATCTGCTGTCCTAATTACTGGCTGTTTCTTCTTTATGTCTTATTTCTCTTGCTTTGGGAACTTGAAAGATTTTATAAGACCTAATTTTGGTTCCTGCCTTGGAGCCATAGTTATCCTGCCAAGAAGAGTAGAAAATGGGTTCAACTCCTGTTTCACTCCAACACCTCCGTGAGTCTCATCATCACCTGAGCGATGATGCCTTACAGGTTGCACAGCACTGGAACTTTCCTAGAGTAATGGCTCTACTGTCAGGGTTTCTCTGGGCTCATTCTTCCACTGACTTAATTATCATCTATGCCTAACAGAGCCCCAGTACAACTATTTTGCAGAATGGCTGTTACCCTAGAATTACTATAGCACATAATGAGACATAGTCGTACTCCCTAGTAGGTAGGAACTGACCCCAACAATAAACTTTGATAATAAAGACAGTAGGCTATGGTGGTTTTCTTTACCTATTAGCATTGTGAAAAGTTGCATTCAGGCTATTGGCTGCACCTTATTCTCCATCCAGTTTGCTACCAATATATTACACCTTTGAATCAAAAAGCGTTGATGAGATGCAGTATAATATTGGTATCTGTGAAGACACAGGGAAGAAAGTGTGTGCAGTGGGGGAAGTTTGGCATAAATACCTTTATTCCTCAGCCATGTTTTGTATGCTCTCAGCAATGGTACGTTACCAAAGTCACATGAAAGAAATTCCATGAAGGGATCTGAATTTTAAACGAAAGTATGAACTCATAAGTCTTAACGGTGCGCTTTTGGTAACATTAGTCCTAACAATTTGCAGTGCCCATATAGTAGTTGATTCTCCAGAAATAATCTGGTTGTGTCATTTGTCCTTTTTAACCCATTAGAATTAAATGCTGAGCCAAATCTGACCCCTCAGCTAAGCTTCCTTACTCTTACTCTTCTTCCCACAGGCATTTTGGAATGAGTCACTTCAGGCAATGGCAAGGGAAAGTGTTTGATTAACTTTGTGCTTGGTTGATCAGAGGAGTGGGTGGTAACTGTGATAAGAACTCGCTACATAACAAACCTGCACACTTGTACTCCTGAACCCAAAAGATTTTTTTTAATAAATTCAGAACAACAAAAGAACATGCTAGTGAGTCTGAGTCCTCCTACCTGCCTGGAGAAGTACGGCCAGCCTTATCACACCTGGTTTTGCCCAGTGATTCACCTACAGCCAAAAGATAATTACTTCAATTCCTGGAGGAAAAAAATAAGTTTTATTCTAAGTCTGAAAGTATATGGTTTCTAACAGCTTTTTCCCTCATTAAAATAATTATTTTTCTACATGAGGCTTGGTAATAAGCATTCGTTTCTTAACCTCATTAGAGAAGAGTTGATTGCACTCAGAGTCCCCACAGCTGTCATGCTGTTACAGATGAAACCAGCCTTTGGGGGCAAAGTTCAGATGTTTCAGGGGCTCTTGTGAAAATGCAGAGTATTACTGTTTCTACCTTCCTGCCCTGCACTTTCCTCCATCTCCCCTCTTTAGAAAATGATTTCCTAGGAAAACTGGCATGGAGAGCAGAAAACGAGTGTAGACTGAAGTACATGAGGCAAAGGGAGACCCTCCAGCATTCTGTGGTCCCACCAGGTGGGTAGATGACTAGGAATTCAGACCAGGTCCTAGAGTAGTGAGAAGTTTTCCTGTTTGCAGTTTCCTCTGTGCTGTACATACAGCCTATGGAACCAGACACTGCAATGGGCAGCAGAACATAGTCAAAGCTCCTGGCTGTCCCTCCATCTATGGGACTATGACATTTCAAACATACTCCCTAGGCAGTATTAAAGCCCAGATATATGAGTAGTCCAAACCAAAACTACTATATTAGAGTATTAGTTCAAATTCTTCCAAACCCTAAAAATTCTTCAGTATCTCACCTAAAACTAAAGGCTTGGGCCAAGAACTGAAACTAAGCTGTTGGTTCTCTTTTTGAGTCTTAATCTATACATACGTAAAGAAATTACATACCTGGCCAGGTGCAGTAGTTCAAGCCTGTAATCCTAACACTTTGGGAGGCCAAGGTGGGCAGACTGCTTGAACTCAGGAATTCAGGACCAGCCAGGGCAACACAGTAAAACTCTGTCTTTACAAAAAAAAAAATTTTAATTAGCCGTGCATGGTGGTGGAAGTCGGTAGTCCCAGCTGCTTAGGAGACTGAGATGGGAGAATCACCTGAGCCCGGAGGTCAAGGCTGCACTGAGCTGCTACCATACCACTGCACTCCAGTCAGGGAGACAAAGTGAGACCTTATCTCAAAAAGAAAAAAAAAATGGTATACCTTAATTGGAATCTGCTTTTTAATCTTTCTCATCTAGTACATTATTTTGAGAAGTCTTTGCCAAGCCCTCATAAAGCAAGCAATTTTCACATTTCTGTAGAAGGCAATATTCCTTATAATGTTTAATAAACAACAAAGTTTTCTCCCAAAAGGTTTATTTCTCACATTTAAAGTACAAAATCAAATACACAGATCCAGATACATGAACCATATATACATATCTATATAGCTATTATTTAGACCTACACAAACCTATCTATCAATTTTTAATTTGTCAATGCTATCCCTTAAGTAAAAAGCAACATAACTCTTTTAAGAAACCTAGGTTTGTTATCAGTAACACTGTTGAATGCAAATTATTTTCACTTCATCACTTGAAAGGGTAGAATTAGATACCTCCTAGAAATAGGGCAATTACCAAGCATATATCCAATTTGTATACATTTCTTAAAATACATTCTATAGGAATAATTAACCCAAGAAACTGCCAAAGTCTTTGGACATACTAACTCTAACAAAACTTGAATCATGGGAAGACACAGAGTTAATTACTTACATTCCAAGAGTTTTGTTTTGATTTTGGTTTTAAATGCAAAGAGACTTTATATGGTTTAGTACACACAGCACTTCCAAGTCATAGTTCCTGTGGAGTTATAGTGATAAATTTTTCAGGGGCTACCTATAGCTATTAAAATTAAACTGGTCACTAAAGGAGGTATCTGATTTTTAACACTGTGGAGGTTACTTCAGCCAAAATGCAAGAGCACATTCTTTAGGAGAAAGGCAGAAATTTTAGACTTCTAGATACAGAATGTATGATGTCACTAAACACACAGATGTCCTCCTGATCGGGGGGCTATGTTATAACAGCTTCTTTGTTCTAGGATGTCATCTATCTTACATGCAGACCACAGGACACTAAGCCTCAGGTACCTAAGCATCTCCATTCCAGACATAGGATTTCATTAGTGCCTGCTCCCACCGCTGGGAACACATAAATATAGAGATATGGGTCATTACCAAAGATTTATATTAATGGCTTCACAACAGAAACACAAATGTACTCAATGTCACATTTCCATAGGAAAGGTTATATATACACTATACACTTCAGCCTTGAAATGTGGACCCAAAAAACATTCAATTTTCAGTAATCAGTGAATTTGGTGAGGGTCTCACACCCTCAAATCCTAATTTAGCACAGCAAAAGCCCCTCCTTTGCTGCCAAGCGCTGGCGGTGAACTTTGTCTTGCTGCAGTTCTTCATGATTTGGATGCCAAAGTTTCGTGATGATCCTTTCAATGTTAAGGGCATAGACAGTATGTGTAGGGATGACTTCCCTGTGCACCTGGGATTAAAAAATTAACACTCCAATTATTCTTCAGTAGACTTATTTTTCCAACATATAAAAGGCTTTACATCAACAAAACCTACACACAACTTAAAAACTTTCAGTCAGACACTAAAATGAATCACCAATTAGATAACAATAAGGTAAGGAAATAAAAATGTTTTGAAATAGGAATAGGAAAACAAGGGATTTTTTCTTTTTTTATTTCTTTAGTGGGGAGAAAGAAGATGGGCTCAGGATTTGAAGAATGAGGCTAGTATTAATAATGGCTTTCATAACAGACAAAACAAAAACACAAAGTCAAGAAGTAGAGAGAAAACAGTCAAAACCTTTGTAGACCTGAAGAATCTCTTAACCTATCTATAAATCTAGGTAAACTTTAAGGAGCCAAGACTTACCTGTAAAGCTTCAAAAAGGTCATACATGTTCACTGGAGGCAACGATGTAGGTAGAGTGTCTCCAGAGCATGCCAGCAGGAGTGCAGCCTGCTGCTCGGCATCATCTGGGGGTGGGTGAGAAGCTGGATTCTGACCAGCACAGGGAGCAGTAAAAGCTGGAGGGCTGAAAATAAAAACTTCAGAAATATTCCCAGCATGGAGACAACTGAACAACAAGAACAGGACTGGCCTGCTAGCATCTTATTAAAAATATATTTCATTGAATTAGAAATCCATTCAATGTCTACTGCTGCAGACATGAATAGTCTGTAATTTTAATTTTTAAAGGCTGGAAATAAAACATAATGCAACTATATTTACCCTCCTTCTTCCACAATGTTAAAATATTTACTTAGCTCAGGATACTGAACAAAAATTGTTTCCCTTAAAGGGCTTCCAGTTGAAACAACTACTAGACCTTAACTACAGGAATATAACATTGAAAACAAGTAACTTAAAGAGGGAGGTGAATGGTACTGGAGACAACTGGTTCTAAAATAAATGAGAAGAAAAGAAGACACAGCACAGAAGCAATAGGCAAAAATGGAGAATGGGGAAAATTAATCCAGAAGCTGCAAATTTCCTAAAATAGAGCCAGATACAAATTGAAAAGTCAGACATGGTTTTTACCTCATAACCCAGTAGGAGATAAACTACACAATGCTGGGGACATAGCATGAGGTAAAACAAGAGTAAAGCAGTAACTCGGGAAAGCAAAGTGGAACGTTAGCGTGGGACTAAAGCATCGGACAAAAGCAGCCTGTTAGAGTAACAAGTGCCCAATAGACAGGCAAAGGCACTCAGAGACTGGCCAGCAGGGCAGAGAGGGCTTGGGAGTCCCGCCAGGGCCAGACGCTGCTCCCAACATCACCCACTACAAGGAGCCATTTTGGGGGTTTTATTTTCTAGAGAAGAATGATCCCAAACAGATATGCCTGAATGCAACTTAGACAATAAATCATCAAATATGGCAATCTAAACAGTGAGCCCAATTTTAAGATAGGTTAAAATAGGCCCATGACCCCTGTAAAGATCTTCAGAGCCATGCAATGGGCAACGGTACAAACTCCCACATGTGGTATCAACACTCTGCTCTATCCAACTCTCAGCTTTTCCACCTACACCTCCTGCCTTTCCTTCCCGTTTCTTCTCCACCAATCACCCTGCCAGCCTTCCCAGTCTACTTTTTTCTCTGAACGTGCAAGTCCCAGTTTTCTCTTTACCTCTCTTCTTCCTAACTAACCAGATATGCAAAGTCCAGCATTGACAGGAAATTCAAGTCACTTCAGTAACCATAAGGAAAATTATATCACTGGTTTTTTGCTTTCCCAAAGGCTTAAAATTCA